ATCCAGCAACATTATTTCTCGGAGTGTCCAATAGCTCTATCATATCAGAGTACAGATCACACCACTCAAGTCTAGTCTGTAACGGTGACCAGTACGTCTCGGGACAATAACCAGGTCTCAATTGAATGCAACGAGTTGGTACCAGCTTATCATAGCCAGGCTGGATCTGGAGATAACCACTAGAAGCCACGCTCATAGAAGCCAACTTTCTTCTCGTCGAATCCAGCAGCTGAACTGGTTACCCGTCGAAAGCTCATCCGTGGTTGCCTTGCCTTCCAGACGATATATCCTTCCAGAATATATCTTCCAGAGGATATTTGACGCGCAGAACTTGAGGGAGGAATAATACACCTTTTGCTGTTGTGGCTTATACGTTGCAAATTGGAGAATTGTCCTCTTTTTACGTTGATAAGGAAGCTCAGGGTCGTATCCCAAGTAGAGGATGCTCTCCGATCGAAATCGCACATTATGTTCTCATCAGCAGCTGAACGTATATCATTCTCATGATGTACAGACAGTTCAACAGACATTGATCGAACAGGATTGTATCACCGTGATTCATCTTCGACCTCGATCGTTGTCATATGCTTTGGGCAAGAAATGAAGTATCTCACGCATATCCTCCAAAGCCGAGAACTATATCTACTTATGACTTTCTACAGAATTTTGGAAACCGGCGTTTTCAAACTTCTGTAGCAGTTGATGAGGAGCATGGAGGAATGACGAAATGCAGGGCTTTTCATCTTTTTCTATTTTTTGAGACACATCAAGTGAGGTCAACATCGTAATTTGCATTTCTAGCCGCTTTGATCGAATTCCACTAGTTTCTTCAAACTGTGAGGACACATTCTCTTCCTTGATAATTTGGCAATACATCTGGGCCTCGTCTCAGACTGTCAACAGATCATATGGTGCTGGTTGAGTGGAGGAACTCATTTCATATTCTGAGTGAGTGGAGGATAGCTTCTGTGCTGTACCAAGTGACTGTAGATCATCGGTGAGCTCCTCCATTCCATGCTGGAACTGGAGGAGTCGGCTCCTTTGGCACTGTGCGGAGATTGGGAGGGTCAACCTCGGGCTCTGGCAGGCCCCAAGACCCTTCACTGGTCCCGGTCATAAACAGACTGGTCAACCTCCATCTCAGACATTCAATCACATTGAAAAGTTAATCCGACATGTACGTGTGTCGCTTGAGGGAGTGCAGTGGACTTTCGTCTTTGGGGTGCCAAGCACCATGCACAGACCAGGACGTAAAAGCTTCAGTCAACTCCATGGACTCGTCTTTCCTGCATGAGGTGAGGCTGCTCTTCATAGAACTACATGTGTAAATGTTGAAACACAAAAACATTTTTTAAAAGTTCAATACCGAGGTAAAGCATTTGAAATTTGGAGTTTGCACACGTCAGATTGAAGCTAACGAACCTGAACTTTATCTGAGTTAACCTTTACTTCTTTGTTTCGAACAGGACTTCATCAACCTAATCATTTCGAATCACATGATGGGGGAAATTTATACAAATTGTCCACAGATGTTTTGATTGATTGATTAACTTCAACGCAATAAGCGTTGAAATTAAAATATTCAAGCTAAATTACTCACTAAGTCAAAGTCTAAACTCCCGACTCAAACATCTGAACAGGGCAGACTGTTATCGAATGAATGTTAGGAGGATTGCTAGCTTCGAACTGTGTAAATAAGTTTCTGATGTGAACTGGGAAGAAGCTGGGCCTATACTTCTGTAGTCGTCGTTTGCACGGTAGTGACAGTGGGGTATATATTCTACTCATCCCCAACAAACAAGACGGTTATTCGAAATTAATTAGTATCTTTCAGAAATTTTTTGGACTTTCCTTCGTTTTGTTTTGTAACGAACGAAAGACGGAGACACTCCAGCGAAAGACTTAAACACTCATACGCCCGAAAATGTGTCAGGTCTCCAGTGAAACCCATCAAAGAGCTATAAGATCAAATGGTGATTAAGGACACTGTCAGACAACTTAAAAATGCACATGCTGGAGAGGATCGAGACTAAAAGATTGATGAAACAACGGTGATGCAAATTAAGTAATGAAAACTGGCCCTTGTCTGTCTTAAAATGGATACTCATCGTGTTATATCAGAGACCTGGGTCTGCTGGCCATTCGTTGTCGGGAATGTAATCATGACATAAACCTTTACTGTGAAATTGAGATCAAAGATATGTACTGTACAGAGATTCGGCCTATTTCAGACTGTGTACGGAGGAGGTAAAGGGACTTGTGGAATGGAAACAGAGTGTCAGGACAAGTCTAACTAATGGTATGAATGCATAAATTATTTGGCCATATTTGATGCCCAACATAACCCGTTTATCTGCACTATGTTCGATGTTCCAGATAAACGAAGACAGTTCATGTTCCACAATCCATACTTCACTATGTTGTTGAATATATTGGCTGCTGACATTTTGCATTCCAATATCCAAGCTGCATCTCTTTTACCTTTTCATAGTACGTACATAAGCGTTTTCTTTCAAAGTCGTACTTCTGAGAGTCAGCCATCTCAAAAAGCTGATGTAATATGACGACTCAGGTGTCCATCAGGTGTCCATCAAAGAATCCACCACGTTATCCACTGGAACTGCTTGCGCCGTTTCACTTTGAAACGGCTGCTAGAGGTTGGATAGCCCTACGGTCGTGTTTACCCATTCTGAACAGTACTCCTCTTTATTTATTCAGCACAAAAATCATATTGTCATTAGTTTTGCTCTTGGTGAGTAGGAAGAAATAGAGATAAAAAAAATTCCAACATCTGAACAAGTACCGTACCATAGGAGGCATCACACCTTTTGTGATTCCTCCAAGTACCGTGGCTGCTGCATGCGGCTCACATGGCCTGGAATCTGCTCAAAATATATTTTTAGATTCTTAAGGAAATCCCAAGAGATATTGGGGTCCCGGGCTACGCGCGCTTTACGTTGTGTTGGGTTGTGATCATATCCACAGCGTATAATAAGGCTACCTTGAGAGATTTTAGTTATTTAAAATCATATTCGAATCATGTAGAGTCATTGTAGTGAAGTACAGTAATTGTTGGTGGCACTAATCCCCGCATGATCACAAAATAGTCCACTAGATAGTCATGCTAGCAAATACATTAACTGCGTAGTGTTATTAATTCATGTTGATAATGTTTTTAGGTGAAAATCTTATTTGATATTATGCTGATTCCAAAACCGATCTGGCCTAACTACGTTCATTAATTATGGTTCTTGTAATTCGTTTTCTCAAATTTTATGTTTCTGTTACAAAAAAATATTTGACTTCGACGGAGATAAGGGAAGTTCTGTTTGTAAAGAGGAAATGAACCTCACTTTAGAAACTCTGACTAATATTACAGAGTCGATCATCAATGAAGATAACCAGTAATGGGTAACTTTTTTATGTTATTTGCACTACAGTAGGTTTATATATTGTAAGGGTATCTGCGAAGTTCTTGAACTCAAATCAATGTATGTGTATGATGATGTTTATAAGATATCTTTAGTATTGTTGATATCAAATATGAGTATCAGAAATGAGGAGGGTTCTTTTTATGCATTTAGGGGATTATGTGCAAGCATACAAACGTATATTAGTGTGACAGATTGTTCTTATCCTTTAGTAGCAATATAATTTGTGTACAACAATTCTGCAACATGGATGTCAAAGCTTGTATGGAAAGAAGCAAACCTACGTAGGAAGCATAGCTTAACCACAATTCTTTCAACTGACAGTTTGGTGGAGCTATATTCACTCACTAATAGCCCGTCGAACTGCTACACCCTAATATGTAGATGTGTTACTTTAAATCATGATATATGAAGGATAGATATTTTAAGTTGATTGGTTTATATTCGTGTTGATTTTGAGTTGGATGTGGCATCGTAATATTGAAATTGAGAAAGAAATACTTTAGGCTAAGATGAGCTGAGATACGCACAATCAGATCCGATGAGCTAAGGAATGTCTTTAGGCTACGATCCAGCTAGTCACCTTCATAGGAGGCATTGGAATGAGATCCTGTCTTTTTTAATTGTAGAGCTGCAAAGTTGTCGCATATGAGTAGTGTACTTGGAAATTTTGGAATTTTTTGATTACTATAGTCTTTGAAGCTCGCATCAGATACTAGAGTAGAATAAGATCTAAACGCTGCGGACATAAACGACGGCTTGTGAGAACGTAAAGTGATGAGTTGTCGTACCCTACAACATTGCTATGATGAGTTCAAGGATTTATCAAACGATGTACCTTGCTTAATAGTATGGCTGTTCGGCATAAAAAAACCCAAATTTGATTAGGTTGGCTACACTGTAGGTATAATCTTCATTGATTTTGGGCTCGTAATTCGTTGACTCCATGACAGGGTGATGCTTGAAATTTAGAATCTATCAGAGTCAAAGTCTCTAGGCCAGAAATTTCTTATGTACACATGGAATAATCGCCAACATCATCCTTTGAAACATCGACACACATGTAATAAACATTCCGTTGCTTTAATGAGTCAAAACTAGATAAAGTTACGTCTGAACCTCAGTGCAGGGATATTTTTTCTTTGCATGCTGACGCTGATATTAATGCTATGGTTGCTTTTCAGAGACAGGATTAAACTGTACTGTTTACTGTAGAGGACATTGTACTTACCGCCTTACCTTTTACTGATGAGCTGGTCCTTCAGTACCAGATCGACTGAGAAAGCAATCTAACTTTTAAGCACAATCATAGGATCGTTATACGTGTGGTTACATTCGTCATAATAAAATGGTCTATATGTTGGGAGCTTCACAAGATTAGCAGCTGTTTCATTTAAGAATGAAGAAATAAACCAGTAGAGTACAATCTTATTCCAATGTCACTGATCTCGAGACGCATTATACAGCTCCTACTTAAAAAAAGATCTGTGGGAACTATCTGTAGTGGCTATCTGAAATTACTTCTACTGGGCATTGTCTTGCACGCATAAAGGAAAACTGAAAGGCGTGGAAGGTACCAAGCACAAGCTCTGGAAATAACATAAGAAAGTAGAGACCACCCGTGGAAGCAAGGTCAAGAATAGCCAATGTGGCTTCAATGATGTTTTCGTGAATTGTTGAAAACTACGAAGCCATCAGGGATGGCTTCGAAATAAAGATACAATATTGTACATGTTTTTGAGGGTGTGGCAGCTTTCTGATATCTCCAGACTATCTTAGTGACAGACTGACCAAGCATCAGACACTCTCAAAATACCTACTTCACAGCGTTCTGATCTCTGAGAACTGTCAAGATTGTACCTCTTGCAACAGAGTACATCCGACACAGAACGTTATCTACTACAAACGGTCTCATGCTTTGGTTCTCTATTATATTGTGGTTGGTAGCCACATGCTGCACCAGCATCCTAAACCTCGTGTGACCTACTGTCAGGGTGAGATGTGACCAAATTGTGATAAAACTGCACTCCAAGTTCATAAAAGACCTGAAAATCTTGTACAACAGTGATGATACATGTACGGAGAAACTCCCCATATCTGGCAAAGGGAATGAGAATCACGGTGATTTGATTCCTTTTACTCTTCACCGATATCTGCTCATTTTGAATAAGGCACGTTTTCTTCTTCGACCTTGACCTCAACTTGCTTGTCATTTTCCTCTGCGTTACGTAGAGCACCCCTCAAGCCAAACACAATGAATAGGTTCGTCAGGGTAAGCAAGGACTCAGCACCACCATGTAGCCAGTCAACATTTGATAAGGAAGTCCCGTAGTGAATCTTCGCTGCAACAGTAAATCAACGAAGATCTATCAGACTCAGAAGACCAGTGTAAGCATTACAAGCATTAAAAGAAAGAAATGGATCAAATAACAATGCTTCCTGGTCCTCAATACCTTACTACGTATTTCAACTGCTGTCGGCTGCTCAGCAAACGTTTCGGACGAGTGTACATGCTCATCGGAGATAGATACGTAACCTCACAAAAGGATTTGTACAAAGCAGAGACAAACTCCAATACGAGTTGTGCAGTACCGTTGACTTACCATATATGCCTGCTGGAACTGATGCCGGGTTTGCATACAATTTGCACAGACAAGAAGACACGTCAGAAAAGTTCATCGATAACTTCAACTGTTCCAACAACTCCACTTTCTAATAACACGATGAAATTATATTGCCAGTAATATGGCCTACTCTTTCACAGGAGCACTGCATGTACAATCGTAGTGGAGCGAATCAAGAATACGGAATGGAACGTTAGAGGAAGTCGAATCCGGTTGTAGAATCCTTTATGTTCAATCTACTTTATGTCGATAGTGGTGGCATCAGAGCTCTGGCGTTCAAAATCTGTTGCCGAAGCGTTGCGACTAAATGGAGAATGTCTTCATCAAAACAGTGCTCGAGGATGGAGACTGCCTCCATTTGGCAGCAACGCATCATCCAACCTCTTGACTTGTTTGACTTTCGTCGTCTGCATTATACCAGAACCATGAACAAAGAGGAGGGAAAAGTAATCCGCTGAGAACTGGAGCAGGCGAGGAACAATTTTCAGATCAAGGCACACGGTAGCGACAGCATAAAACGCTGCTCTAATCATCAGCATACAGGTCAATGTCATAAGTATGAAGAGAAGCAAACACATGAATAACTATCCGAGAGGACAAGGAGTCACAGTTGAGTCATTTAAGGAACTGCGTGACGACAACTGCGGAAAGAGAAAAAAGGTTCCGTCTATACGATATATCGGGAATAAAAGAAATTGAAACAACATTACAAACGTGGCCTTTCTTGACCTAGCTACAGCCAACCATCCACCTGCTTGCTTTTTCATGCAGCATTCATTCTCAGTCAAAAAGAAGCTAATAAGCGCAAAGGGCTTCCGAAAAAAGAACATATGAGTTAAAAAAAAGTCAACATTTGAAGTACAGATAAATGATCAGGCGTAGTTGAGAATATCCAACAGCACTGCAAGACAGATACTTGGAAGGTCTGAGTTGAGACGAAGAAAAACTCTTCAACAAAACTCGTCCAGAAGTCAGGTTTATTGCTGGACGAGTAAGGAGTACTGAAGGGAGACACAAAGAAGCACAACATGAGTCTAAAGAAAGGGGCACACTTGCAGAATTTCCTTCCTTCCTTCTTTGCAACTGATCATTAAAGGCTTGCTTCGCCGACAATGGTCTCCCAGAAAATGCTGAAGTAAACAGCTATCGATGGGATGTGTACAGACTTTGAGACAGCATCAGGTTTGCCCAGTACGATAAAGATTTTTGAGAGTATTGTACAACAGCCTCAAGACATGACAATATTTACGACGGGAATAATTGCCAGATTCATGCAATGGAAGATTAGATGAAAATATACGAGTTTTATTTGCTGGTGGTGGAAATCAGTATCTGAACATGGACCATTGGATCACTGGATCTCATTCAGTTACAGATATTAAAAGGAGAAAACTGTGGACAGTTTTTTAGGATAATCATTCCAGTTTTAGCAACAGTGAGAACACACAAGTAGGTGATTATTTGATCTTCGATCATATAATAGCATATTTCTTGATGCAAATAGAAGACTGTCATCAAATCGCTGTAAGCAGCAGGATGCATGAGAAATTGGGTTAGCTACACGATTTTACTCAAGAGATCAGACAGGGTAGTGAATATGTTGAAAATTGGTCCGAAGATTATTGACACTCAACGTACTGCCATAATTTCTCGCCTAGAACAACCGAAAACAACAAACTGGTTCTATCATGGATCCAAGCATCATTATATTACACAGTCCAAGGGGGAGAAGCATACTTGTTGCACCAACGAAGGCGAGCAAGAAATAGAAGCCGAAGAGGGTCATTGGGGGCGATGTTTTCGACTTGGTGATGTGGTACAGAAAACCCAAATAAGGGAACAGGGACCCTGCGAAAAGTGAAGACGCAATACTCTGAGAGTCCAGCGCTGCACCAGGAGCCCAAGGATCTACCACCGCCTTCACAATCAGACGCCGATTCCCGCATTGCCTCCTAATCCGCACCGAACCTTTCTGTACACCTCTCGGAATCAAAGCAGGCCATTGCCCCAAACGCCGACAAGAATTCAATTCTAACAACGCACATGGAGGCGCCCTAAGACCGACATATCCAGCACCTAAACTCTTGAGCAGCAGTCCATGAGCCATAACTCCTCGCCTGTAGAAATGTCCCACGAAACCTCCGACTTATCGACCTCGCTACAATATAAATGTCACCAAATAACTCACCAGCTGTCTAACGCTAACACTGCTTACAGGGCTGCACGAGACAAGACCGAAATGTTATACAAGTGTTCAGTGATCCAATGACTGATGGCAGGACCAATGAGGACATGGACGCGATCCACAGCGTAGTAGCATTGCACTGGCATTTCTTACGGCAACTAAATAATAAGAAGGTGCTCAGGCTTGCGGCCTCTGCAATAAATGGCCTTTGCTCGACTCCAGGTTTGGGACGTAGTGGCCCTTCTTCCTCGACGTCTTCTTCTTGTGTACGGATGTAGATAGGGTGAAGCGAGCTCCATCTCTTCACTCATTAATCCATCTCTCGCTTGGTCTTTTGCTCCAGTGAGCCAAAATCTACAGTCACTTTGAGTTCTTTAGGACTATTCAGTGTTCTAACTACTAGTAAACATGAGAAATTTTTGGGAAAATTGGATACCTTTGACATGATCCTCGAACACTTGAACACCCATGGGACTCAGATAAATGAGCAAACTTGAAATATAAGTTCCGTGCCTGATAAAGGTGAGAAGTTCAACTGAGTTCTGCATTTATGGACCAAGTTTTTCTGAACACAAACACAGCTGAAAAAAAAAAGTAATAGAAGTTGGGATCAAGTGATGACAATTTGGAGGAGGGTGACAAGTGAGTGGATTTAACTGTCGTGGTTGGTGAAGTCCAACCAGGTGGGTGCTAACCACGACTCGACTGCTTCATGGCACAGTAACTTACAAAGAGTGGAAAGAATGCTGCCCTCTTGTGACACGTGTAAATATCGGCGGATGCAATGGGGCACCGTGGATTCCTAGAATACGGGTGTGCCAAGTGGATAGCCAAAACTATGGGAAGACCCCATTCAGCCGTGTTTACGCATTTCTGGGAAGGGGTTCTCCACATATGGTTTTCCTACAAAACATTAATGTTCTCCCTTGTTTGTGTTTTAGCCTGTATTGTGTTTTTTTAGCTTTTTGACCCTTTGGTCTCCTTGGTCTATTACCATTTATATAATTGAGAGTATTTTTTCAATTTTTGATAACAAAAGTTTTTTTTCTATTTCATCTTTCATGTGAATCGGTTGCTCATATAGGCTAAAAGAAATAACCACATGTCAAAGTCATGCAACCAAATGATCTATATCTTAAGTTTAGGTATGTTTGAATAGTCCATGGTGAATCAAAGAATGGAGGTAGAATCACGGGTGGTGTCAGTGACTAAAACTTATTTCGTCTATCAAAGAGAAAAATTTCAATTTTGTTCACATTTCCCTAATAAGTAGTTTGAATCAATTATAAATTCGATAAAAATTAATTCAGAAGAACAATTCAATCAAAATATGAAATAAGAACATCTATGTTTGTATGATTATAATATTTAATACATCATTTTAAATTTTTAAACATCAGATCTCAATGTGATGAATGAAACAAAAATACATGAAATATATCATATTATCAAAAATTCATTTTTTTCTTTCATGATATAATAAAATACCATGCTTAAAATTACAAAATTCTTTCAATTATTATTTCAATACTTAATTTATGTGATGCATGTATTCCATATCCACATTTAAAGTTTAGAACTAATTAAAGTTATAACCAAATCAAAAAAATCATTGATCAAAGGTTTAGAGTTAATGAAATTTCTATGAGCATAAAAATTCATATCAGAATTGCAAACAGAAACTCGAATAGATGTATTGATTAAATTTCACATGGAATGAAATATTAACCCAATACAATTCTAAAAAGTTAGTTAATAGTTTATAATCATTTTATTTTACTTTTGTAAAATCCAAGACGCAATTTTTACTATGTATGCTCAAAATGTTTTGTAGAAGCAAAATAAATAGCTATTCATATGAAGATTTATCTTGTCAAACAAAATTTCTTGATCATTTCCAAGTGCATGATTGAAAATTAAATATATAATTCGCACATATATATATATATGTGCGAATTATATATTTAAGGTATATATTTTTTTGAAATAATAATTTCAACTTAATATTTTGATCAATAAATGATCAACATTGTCAATCGTTATAAATAAATGAATTAAGAAAATCCACAAAAATTCTAATTTTTTAAGGAGATTCAAGGTCTGATAGATAAGGAGATTTCATTTTTTGGAACAATTGACACTTTAAGATCAAAGATAATTCCAAATATTTAATGGATTTTAATTTAGCTAATATGATATTTCATTTCTCCTTTAGAATATATTACTGATAGAATGAATTTTTCTTAACTTTAACCACCTATTTTTATTCCTTTTAAATATTATTTAGATCCTTTTTTATAAGAATAAAATTTTATTGGATATTGAAATAGACTTTTCACAGATGAATTAGATTTTTTTTTAATTATCAAATATATATATATATATATATATTTGGAAATAATAAGGCAGTAAAATATTTTAAAATATACCTATTTTATAAAAAATAGAAAATAATTATTATTATGCATCTAAAAGACATCAATATTTAGAATGCATTAATGATTCAATTATATTACCTAGTTTGAAATAGTAAGATATAATATCTATTAAAATTTAAAATCTTCAGAAAAAATTCTAATTTAAAAAAATGTGTTACTTCATTCATGATTGTAATTGATTTTTATGAAATTTTGATACTGTAGTCTATCATAAAATTCATAATAAACTACTTCATGATACACATTAGGTGAACTTATGAAGGAATCTATCATTTATACTTTTATACATATGATAAAACCTGTGATAGCTGTATATATTGAATATTTAGTTGATTACCAAATACAAGCTACATTTTTGTGCAAATAAAATTTATTTAAAATTTTGTATATTACTTTCATTAAAAAAAAATAGTTAGTATGAATTGACGAATCAAGCTTAACGTTTGATATCAAGGTACGTGTACAATATTCAAGTTTTTTCATGTAATTTTTCTTGATGAAACTTTTTTATTCGTGTTATGAGATTGTAGATTTAGAGAATTTCATATATAATTAGAGAATTTCAAATCCTACACATTAAAATTTTGAAAATCTTGAAATAATTCAATCTACAATTTGTGGAAAAAGTATTTCACTATGTCGAATGTGATACTTAAGTATTTTGACTCCTTGATCAGGTTTCATGAAAAACATAGAAAAATAGATCTTATACTAAGTAGAATATAGTCTAGAAAGTTGATATATGGTGTTGTGATGTTTTGACATGGTTACTTGATGAAAAGATACAACCATTTTCTAGACTATATGTGCAACAACAATTTGAAACCCAATTGTTTTACAAAAAAGTTTCTCTCTCACAACTACTTCAAAGGAGATTTGACAATGACTGTACACGATTAACATATATGAATGATAGTCATAAGTTTTATCAATGAAACAAATCTGATTAGTTTAATCGTAAGTATTATAAACAAAACATACATGTGTGGGAAAATTATATGTATGATAAAATCAAAAAAATTTGTCATAAACAAAAATAGTGAGTGATGAAAATTATCATGTGATAGCACCACTACTAGTTGAAACAATGAAAATGCCAAAGCTTCAAAAGAGAAAAATATCTAAGTGGTGAAGCTTTCAATTAAACAACTTATGTGATAGCTTCCAAAATTTTTAATTCAAAATGCTAAAAAATGACAAATAAACCAAGATTTTGAAGCTGAAATGCAAAATAACAAATATATTCTAAGAAATCAAAGTTTAGACACCACAGCGTCAAAAAAATAACCAAAGTAGTCAAAATATCAATATTTTTTTACCCTTAAAAAAACCTATATTCAAAAATTCAAAAATTCAAATTAAGAAAAATAAATTTTCAAAGTGTCAAAAAATACTAAAGACTAATATAAAAATATAAAAAAAAATGCTACATCAAGCATAATTTTGAAGCTAAAATGACTATAAACGATAATTGCAAAAATAGAGTAGATATCAAAGAGCTATAATTATGAAAATTAATTTAGTGTACAGGAAGATATAAATGTCAAAAAAATTTATGGTGATCCCAAACAATCAAATTAAAAAATGTGTAAAATATTCAATATGTTACAAAGATGAGAAGAACAATAAAAGAATATACTTTAACCACAAGTTTGATGACTAAAGACTTTACTTAAGAAGTTTTTTTGTGTAGTAAAATATTGTACAATGCCAAATATTGCTTTCTGTATATTGATATAAATTATAACAAAATCTACACAATAAACTTTTAGAATTAGTTACTAGTCTTGTCTTGTATGTTAATGCAATAGATTAAAATATTTTTTTCTAATGTGAAGAATACAATCAATTACAAAAACTAGAGAATGAGCAGAATTTAAAATAGACGACATTTTTATTTTAATTGTTACAGATCACGCAAGGTCAGACCAAGAGATCAAACTAAGACTAGAAAGCCTAACTGCAACCAACTTAGGAATAGGCAAACACAAGACAAATATTATATGGGAGTTTAGAACTAGAACTTTATTGATCAAGTACTGTCACGGATCACGCAAGGTAGGACTAAGAGTTCAAACTAAGACCACAACGCTTAACAACAACCAACCTAGATGAAGTCAAACACAAGACAAAGATAACACTGAAGTGCAAAACTAAAATTAGAACTTTATATATTCATCTACTTGCGTTGATGTGCTGAAACACTAAGATATATACGTTCTTGTTTTATAACTAGAAGGTAACTTAGATGAAATGAATCCAAACAGCCAAGACCGCCGAGGTGATGATACGTGGCTACGTTACTGGGAATATCAAAACTACACCGAGACTTGGATGATGTGACGGTTAGACTTGTAAGAAACATTGGTTAGACTAGGTAAGAAAAACGTTATTGGTTAAACTAAGACTAAAGTTTACTTCGTGGCAAGGGAAGATTCTAGGAGTTTGAAAGTCTCAAATGGCATGTCGTCATCCCAATCTAGGGCTTAGAAAACTTCTAGAAGGTTTAGATAGGCCAATGACATGTTGCCGCATATTGAAAACGAGTCAAATATACATAGATTTATCTTGGTAGATGTAAGTTAGATGATAATTACTATTTGTCACTATGATAACTTAGTATAAATTGACAAGTAATTAAGATTTTCAAGCAAGTTTTGAAAGTTCATTATGTGAGAACCTCTTTCATCTATATAAATTTGACTTTCACTAACCTTTTGAATGTCAACAAATGTTTGAAATTGAGTGATTAGTTGAGAGTTTGTGTGAGAGAATTT